AGGCAACCATTCCTAGTTCCCTTCTTCCTTTTCTATTTTCTCTTCTCCTCCTCTTTATTGGCACGTGCTCTCATCGATCCAGTGTGTTTGTATGTACAGAGGCCTCAGGGCCTGTGGATGCTTGACCACATTCCTCCCACTATAACCTCTCCAAAAGCTTGAAGCTTCTACATAGGAAGCTTCAGAGGAGAATCTATTAGACAGATATAGGAAGTGGGGATAAAAAGCTTTTTATTCAATTTTGTTAGAACAAGGAATTAACACATTTTTAGGTACAAGGACTGGTAAATTATCCAAGATCGGTGAAGTCTGAACTGAACATGCTCCTATCTCAAACTATCCCACCTACTTGGGCCCCTCCAAAGAACAGTGCTCTCACAGCTTTCCTCTCTCTTTGCTGGACCCTCAGTTTTGCCTCTCTACTGGATTATTCTCAACATTGTATAACACGCAGTTTCTCTCATCTGAAATTACTCTTGAATCCACATCTCCTTTTAGATCCATTCCTCTGCTCCCTTTACAGAGGAATTCCTTAAAAGACGGTCCATGCATATTGTCTTCAGTTCCTCTCCTCTTATTCTCTCCTGAAGTTGCTTCAGTCAGGCGTTTGCCTTGTCCATTCCACCAACACAGATCTTGTCAAGATCACCAATATCTTCCATGTGGCTAAATCTTAAAGTCATTTCTCAGACTTCATCTAAATTGTCAACAGCATTCAACATATGAGTCCTTATCACTTCCTTGAAAAACTTTTTCCCCCATTTAGCTTTGAGGATTCCATGTCCTCTTGATTTTTTTTCTCCTGATTTTTATTCTCCCTCATCAGTCATTCTTTCTCAGTCTGCTTTGCTAGTTTCTCTTCACATCTCACACTTCTAAATGTCAAAATGCCCAAGGCTCAGAATTCTTTTTTCCCTCACTCTCTTGGTTATCTCATCCATTTCAGTATTTCAATACCATCTATATGTTGACAATTACCAAATTTATACCTCCAGTCTATACCTCTTCTCTAAACCCCAGGTGCAAATATCCAAATACGTACCTCAGCATCTCTACTTGGGCATCTAAAAGGCATCTCAAACACAACATGTCCCAACATGCTTCCAATCTTCCAAATTTCAGTAAATGACAACATCATATCTTCAAGTGTTAAGCCAAAGGCTTGGAGTCGATCTTGATTCTCTTTTAGTCATACGCCACGTCCAATCCAATAGCAAATCTTATTGGCTCAAATTTCAAAACATATCCAAAGTTCCTTGACTTCTCACCAGCTGCACCACAATTATTTGATCTGAACCATCATCTCGTGTCAGATTGCATCACTCTGTCCTCAAAACTACTCCAGTGGCTTCCTATTTCAGATAACTTACAATTTCCAAGCCCCAAAACGATCTTAATCCCTCAGCTCCGATTATTCAATTCCTTGCTGATTCCATGCCATGTCCCACTGGCCTTTCTGCTGTTCTTCAACACTCCAGGTATGCTCCTGTGTTAGGCCTGTGTATTTTCCCCTCTGTCTAGAATTCTTTTTTTCGTATCTACATGGCTTCTTGTCTCATCTTCTTAGAATCTTTGCTCAAATATTACCTCTGCAATAAAGCCTTCCCAACTATTCTAGCTAAAGCTGCACCTCTTCCATTCTCTGCCACCTTGGTCGTTTGCTGCTGGTTTGCTTCTTTTTTGTTTGCAGGGAAGGATTCACCCTGAACTAATATCTGTTGCCAATCTTCCTCTTTTTTTTTTTTAATCCCCAACCTCCTCCCACCCCCCGCCACTGCATGGTTGCATATCCTAGTTGTAAGTCCTTCTAGTTCTTCTGTGTGAGCCGCCAGCCGCCACAGCATGGCAACTGACAGATGGGTGGTGTGGTTCCACGACCAGGAAATGAACCCCGGGCCGCCGACGTGGTGAGAGTGTCGAACATTAACCACTAGGCCATCAGGGCTGGCCCTGGTTTACGTTTCTTCATAGCACTTATTGCTATCTGACTTTATATTATGTTTCTATTGACTTGTCTATAGTCTGTCTCCTCCACTAGAATCTAAGTTCCCTTAGGGCAAAGACTTTGTCTTGTTCAGTCCAATGCTTAGAACAGAATCTGATACAAAGAAAGTGCTTGATAAATACTTGATGAAATAATAAATCCATGATGATTCCCATAAAGGAATGTCATCTTCTGAAACAAAGATTCAAATATTCATAAATTAGATAAAACCCTCACAAACACATATGGCTATATATTCTGAATTCACTGGGAAAAGTTTGCTGTGTAGTTAGAAATAAATGAATGAATAAATTGTGTATTAGCTAGAAACTGCAGAGTAGAGAGATATTTACACAAATTATATAAAAATTGGGAATCCAAAGAAGCTTTATGAATGTAATGAATTTGTGAAAAGTCAACACTTTTATATTTTATTAAAATTTAAAGAATTAAAAATCCTGAACAATGATCTGTAGTCATAAGAAAACGATGACAATAAAAATATAATACACAAATGATTTATATTATAAAAATGTACCTCTTAATTGGTATAAATTAACAGACATTTTAATTCACATAGCCACTAACCTTAATTTTAAAATTGATCTCTGGAGTAATTCAATTTGCCTTTTTCAATTTTTTTTTGCTGAGGAAGATTATCCCTGAGCTAACATCTGCTGCCAATCTTCCTCTTTTTGTATGTGAGCCACTGCCACAGCATGGCCACTGACAGATGAGTGGTGTAGGTCTGCGCCTGGGAACCAAATCCTGGCTGCCAAAGTGGGATCCTGCCAAACTTAACCACTAGGCCACCAGGGCTGACCCTTCAATTTTTAACAGAGAAATTCTAAGATAAGACTCATTTATCGAAGTAGATCATTATGAAAACACTGCCCTAATTTTTACCTAATCATTTTAAAAGCACAGTCCTTGATATAAGCATAATTTATAACCTCTAACCTCTAAATCTTATTTATATCTTTAATATAGGCATAAAAATATATGCTGTGAGCAGGTCTTTTTAAAGTCAGTGGCACAGCCAAGTCTTTACGTTATCTCTAGAATGGTACTTTATCTTCTAATGGAAAATATTTAGAAATATGAACTAATATCACTGTATTTGGGTCTATTTTTCAAAGTATTTTTATCAATATGTATAAAAAATAGATTCTTATTTGCAAAATTCCAAAACCAAATAAAGTAGAGCTACCATAAAATCTATTCAGTGGTTCTCTATGAAAAAATAATTTATCTTGGACAGTCTACCTTAATGTTAGTTTAGTATGTGTATCAGTCATTTTCCCTTCTAAGAAGTCTGGGCTGATAAGGGAAGGAGTTGATGGTTCCTGGAAATTGACATAAAAGAGCCTGAATGGTTCTGAAAGAACAGGTGGACAGAAAGGGCACATCTAGCAGTAATTATGGACCAGAGAGCACTTACCCAGAGACCCTGAGGACAGGGGCAGACTGCTCACATGTCTAGGAATTCCTCATGTTTAATAACTGCAAAATTAAAACTGATATTTTCTCTTAAAAGTTTCTATTGCTAATGTTTAGGGATAGTTTAGAAAATTCTCAAAATGCTTTGGTCTGCTTTGTGTGGGTAACAAAGCATTAGGAATATTAGCTCGAGTTATGGAGCTGTGGCCATCCAAAAGAGGTGTAGATACAGTGACCACTCTTGTGTCTACTCCCTAACATGTTCCATTACTATAGAACATGGAGTAGAGAAAGCAAAGGAGAAATGATCAATTGCAGGCAAGCCTCTACGGTCATTTTTGTTTTGACCCTCTGTGACAAAGCTCAACACTAATGTCAGTCCCCACATCCTTTTTAATTGCCAGACATCTCTAAGTAGGCAACAATCCTCTCTTCTTACAACCAGAAATATGTCTGAAAATAACTTACTATACATTTATACGATTTTATATATATACATGTATATATAAAGTTTCATTTTGGATTAACATATAAAGTTTATATACATATATAAAGTTTCATTTTGGATTAATGAAAATTAGATTGATAAAATATAATTATCCAAAAGCCAGCCCTGATGGCCTAGTGCTTAAAGTTCAGTGCTCTCACTGCTTCGGCGGCCCAGGTTGGTTTCCCAGTTGTGGAACCACACCACCCATCTGTCAGTAGCCATGCTGTGGCGGCAGCTCACATAGAAGAACTAGAAGGACTTATAACTAGAATATACAACTACGTACTGTGGCTTTGGGGAGGAAAAAAACAAAGAGGAAGATTGGCAACAGATGTTAGCTCAGGGCGAATGCTTCCCAGCAAAAAAATCAAAACAAAAAATATATATATATATAAAATTATCTGATAGAAAAGTAGACATTATGGTGATTTGAGATCTGAGAATATCAAAAATGAGTCTAAGGATTTAAATCACCCTAAAGGAAAACAAGTGTGGGGGGAGCAAAAGAAAAATGACCCTAGAGCCTTGCGTTCAATTGACCATTTCTCCTTTGCATGTCTGTTCCATTCTCTGTATGAATGTCAGATAGGGACACACACTCCGAAGAAAAATAAAACAGGGCAAGAGGACCGAGAGTGGAGAGCACTGCTGCTTTACACAGAGCGATCAGTGCAGAGGTGACATCTGACAAAGATCAGATTGTGATAAAATATGGAAGATGCTACTGCAAAGCCTTCCCTCCAGTGGATGAGCACTCCAACTGTAAACAATAAAGATGGAACCATATGCAATATATTTTAATTATATGCAATATAATTTAATATATTTAATATTTTATTAAAATTACGTTTATCTTCAGCTTTAAAAATCAATAAATTTGGGATCCTTTTAAACAGAACACCTGAATCTGAATATGAAAACTAGTAAAACAAAATTGGCTTGGGAGACTTAGCCGCTGACATTCTCAAAGAGATTCATGACGAAAATACTTTTCAGAAAAGGTGTAAGAAAGTCAGCACCATGACTACAACAATCTGAATCTTAGTCCAACTGGCGTGTTGTACCAAAAATGACTTTGCTATTTTCTAAAGAAGGGACTAATATCTATTAGTGACTAGGATTTTGATGGAATTAATAATAGAATGAGACACAAAAAATATGTCAAGACACGAAGTTACAAAATCGCATATTCCTAGATTAATGTACTCTTGTATATTGAGTAGTGTGTGAATGCATACACCAATTATGTGTGTGTCTGTGTATAACTGATAAAAGGATGGATTATAAACACACATCAGATTCTTCTGAGCAAAGCCTAAAAAACCTTTATTGGAATAAAGGTTCCAGTAAAGAAGAAGGTTGGTGAGTTTAACTTGTATTCTCTTTACAGTGCAGTGTGTTCAAAATTAAGTTGTTTGTTTGTTTGCATTTCTCTCAGATTATCTAACATCTCAGACTGTCAGACAAACACACATAACATAATACTTGTTCTTCCATTTTTCAAGTGATAAATGGTGGGCTGACGCTCTGAATGCTCCCACAGTGCTGTAGTTCTGGGGAAGTAACATCAAGATGCCAACTGGAATCTCTTTCTTGAAGTCAAAGTTGTCCTCTGAAAAGATTTAGATGGATACTGTGAACCTGAAACACCAACCAAAAAGCAATTCTTATTAAAATGTTAAAAATCCCAGCTCTCAAAGAAATTGTTTTACATATTCCATGCAGATGATATTTTTTAAAAAGAAAAAAAAGTTTTCTTTTAATTGCACTTTTACACAAACCAGGAAATAGCTGTATGCAAAAACTGCCATTGGGGTCCTGAGAAGAAGGAAGGGCGCTCCCCTCCACCAAGCCTAGGTGCTGGCCACGTGTTCCTCCAGAGCTGGTGGGTTTGCAAGAACCTTCTACCCAGAGGTGGATCCCTAAGGCCCTGGAAGTTAAGAAGGGAGCTCCGTCAGCCCTCATACTTCACAGGGGCAGAAGCAATGTCACCTGCCTTAAGATCCTTCCCACTGTTGGGACACCCCCTCAACTTCTCCTTTCTTTTCTGTCACAGAACAAATGTTGATAAGTTAATAGCTCCTGGTGCTGTTTGACATGAAAGCAAAAATAAGAAAGAGACCACATGCCTGCTTGTCAGAGAAAAAGAAAGAAATCCTTAGAAATACAGAAACATCTCTCTTATGTACCCTCAGTCACTTCGATAGAAGTGAAAAAGGCCTCCAACCATCAGTAATAATAGTTGTCACAATGTTCTTGATAAGAGAATACACTGACTTAGTATTTGGTGAAAAATTAAGAGTGCAGATTTCAAAACAAATTCAGAGCCCAGTTCCCTCTCCTAACCTCTACTCCTGTGTGTTCCCAACAAGCTATTAGACACGTGCCCTCAGCATGTTGCAGGTAACATCTCCAAGACTGAATTCATCACAAGGCCTCGGGTTCTCTCTTTCAGCACTGTCTCCTGGCCATCCACAGAATATTTACCAACCTTTGCTCCTTTCTCTCTCACGTACCACGTGATGCTCATCCTGATGTGCGTGGATCACGCCTCCTCCAGAGGCCCCTTCACCCACCTGCGTATCCAGCTAGGTGGCCCTGCTGCCCACTCTCACAGCCCTTTCCATCTTCCCCACTAGACTGAATGTTCCTTGAGGCACAGACTAAAACGTTCTTGGTGTTTGAATCTCAGCCTTGAGCACAGAACTTGACACAGAGTGAACACTTGGTATGTTGTTATTTATCAATAAACAAACTCGGACGCTTACTTTCCCCCTGACCAGCTACAGTTCTGTTAAGAGCAATACCTGATAATGCAGCATAGCTGCCTTTTAGAGAAAGAGTTGTTGTCATTGACAATCACCACTAACACTGATAGGGAATGTACAAGAAAAAAAGCAACACAAAGGCGCAGCAGCCTAGAGCTATTAGCATAGGAGAAAAATCTTGAAAGGCTGAAGAATCTTTGGGATCACTATGCTTTACAACTATATAGAAAGGCTAATGTAAACAGTGATACACCTGTGCTATCCCAATGCTTAAATTTTACTAAATTTATTTTAAAATTATAATAAAGTAAGTATTTCCCTTAAAACAGCAAATTATCCTTTAATTTCAGATTATCTATAATACAAATGGTTCATAATTTTTGAGCAACAGTGTATGCCTGGCATCTAGGTAGGTCCTGTCCATATATTTTTCCAATAGTTATTTTATCCACCCAGCCTGTTATAAAAGAAGAAACTGCTCAGAGAGGTTGAGGCACTCCTAAGATTTCTCAGCTAAAATTTACTTCTAAGAGCCAGGAGTAAACCAGGCATTGACTGCAGAGTGACACATCGAGGGACAATGCTATGTTGCCTCTCTGAACAAAAGTGTTGATAACAATTTTGAAAATTAAAACATCATTGGCCTAAATTCAGACTAGAAACTTTATGCTTCAAATAGCATACTAGGCTGAGAGTATTTATCTGTAAATCTCTACAATATAAAATAATTAGAATATTTGGATTAATTTTATGAAGGATTTTTATAACTAGATCTTCAAAGAGAACTAAGATCAGGGTTTAATTTAGGAGAAAAGCATGAAAATTCCATAGCAGAGAGCAACATTGATTTCTCCTAGGACGCATAATACAGCATTTTCCTTTTTTATGAGAGTGAGCCCCTAAGTTAATAAAGAGCGTTTGGGCCTTTTCTCTTTTATGACCAACAGCAGGTAAGTGCTTGTCTTTGCAATTTTGCTCTTTATAGAGATTTCTGAGGTCTAGCCATAGACCACAGACACTTAGTATTTCCTCTTACATGGTCAAAACAGTCCTATCAAGGGAGGAGATAATCTACAATTTCTCTTTCCAAAATTTAAAAAGTCACATATTACAACACTTTATTTATATATGGAGAACACTGACCTGCCAAAAAACCTTGACCTGTCCATGTGTGACCAGCAAATTCCATCAGTGTCAACGAACTTTTTCGAGGCGTATCTGACTGTTAGAAGAAACATAAAATGAAGGATGACTTTTATTGTTTCAAATATTTTTAAAAATCAAAGTTATGCTTAACAGAGAACCTACCTGAAATGTATGGGTTGTGCTGGGCCTTGAAAACTGTTCCACAGTCAGAGATCTTTCTCGAAGAGGCGACCGTTCTATACTGTCTGGTATCGCACTTAACACACGGTTTTGTGGATGCCTTCCTCTGTACTAAAGGAGGGAGAATAGGTTCTTGTTTAAAATAAATGCAATCCTTAAAAGGAGAAAAGAAAATCTATATATGTTTCAATCATTCATTCATTTATTCACTCATTCACTTGCTTATTTGAAAACCTGTATTTAGATATTGCTAAGTATAAGGTCTACTAAGCATAAATATCAATATACATTTTAATTATGTCATTGTATTATTTAACCTGATAGAATGGGAGTGTCCTAATAGGTAAATATGAATTAAAAACCTTAACCACATAAAATTCTTAATTTAAATTATAAGAGAAATGTAATTCTGCATTTGTGAAGCATCAGACTATTTTTTACATGATATTTGCCTTCTTTTATGATTTCACTCTAAGTCACAATATTCTAAGGTTAAATATTAAAGTTCTGCAACTCTTGCCTTCTGGGAATGGGTGAGCTCTTAATTTATGTCAGGCATTATTTAACACCTATAAGTTCATTTAATCCTTATAACAATTCTTTGAGGTAGGAATCACTATTGCCCTTTTGTAGGGGAGAAAATTATGGCTCAAGGAGATTAATTTGTACCAGATTGTATAGAGAGCTTGTGTGGCAGGATTCAAACACAGATCTGCCCGTCTCCTGACCCAACCTTCATGCTATTTTCTTCACTACACCATCCTGACCATCAGATATTTCCCTGACACCTAGACTTTCTGATGTAGTTCAAGACATGCTTTTATTTCACAAAATAGTGAATTAACCCTCCCACCCCCTATAAATTCTCACAAGCCATTTACTTTCAGGAAGCAGATCATGGAGACATTTTATGGTACTGAGTTCATTTGGAAATGCCAAAATTATATTTTGTTTGTTTGTTTTCCAACAGACTATCTAAATGGTGCACTTAAATATAATGAAATGTGTCTTACAGAAACAGGGCGAGATCCGGGAACTGCGACGTTCTGCTCACCAGCCTCTGAGTCTATTGGGGGTAACCTGCTCCGTGAGGTTTGAACTGGTGGGGAGGACAGGCGGTCTACACCAGTTTGCCTGTAAACACAGCAACATATAACTGAGCAGCCAAGTGCAAAGAGAGAGAGAGATGGACCTTACCATGAAGCTCCTAATCTGAGCCATTCATCCCAGTCTTCCTTCTAAAAATGCCAAGTAGAATGACCCGCCTTCTCCTTGTTCAGCAATGACTGTCAACCTGTATTTACTGAGTGCTCAGCTATGCTAGCCACTGTGCAGAACACAGAAGTCATCGAAGATCTAGTTCCTCCCCTTAAGTACCTTACAAGTTATTGAAAACACATGAAGTAATTAGAGTACAATGCGATACAGTTTCTATAACTAACACATAACTAAGTGCTATGGTATATGGTTCTGAATATAAGTACTGTAGAAATTTAGGGAATGGAGCAATCAATGAAGGATAACATTAATTATAAACGTGCAGGGCCTAGATGAGGAAAACCACAAAACTTTACGTAAGGTCATAAAAAAGAAACGTGTCATAAAAAGGAGAGGCAAAATATGTTCTTCGATGGGAAAACTAAATATTGTGAAAATGTTAGCTACTCCTACATTTTTAATACGCTTAATGCTATGAACTCCAACGTGATAGTTTTTTTTTGTTTTTTTGAATTTGACAACCAGATTGTAAAGTTTATTTGTTAGGATGGGTGAGTAAATTTTAATAAAATAAGGAGTAATGATGATAGGAGAGCTTCCCTACCAGATATTAACATTGAAAAATTAAATTGTCTGGTTCGTGCACAAGAATAGAGATGGATATTCTAGAATCAGATTCTAATTCACTTATTCATTAATAATAAAGTTATGAAAGTTAAAGGATGACAATTTTTGACCTATCAACTTTTGAAATACATACTTCAAATATACTACTCAAAGTTTAGAGGCCGCAAGGAAAGACAGAGTGTCGTGTATTGCCAGCGGGGCTATAAATTGGTAGAACTATTCTGGGAAGAACTTTGAAAAAATATTTCAAGAGCCTTAAAAATATCCATAACCTTTGACCTGGTAGCTTCACTTCTAGGACTGCACCATTAGGAAGCAATTTAAAGACATCCTTATTAAGATTTATATAAAAGGATGTTCACTGCACATTATAATAGTGAAAATACAGATGAAATGAAAAGTTTCAGTAATAGGGAAATACTTGATAAATTATCATATACGCACATGATTATTTTTTAGTCATTGAAATCATGCTTTCAAAAATATTTAATAACATGGAAAATATGAATAATGTTAAGTGTGAAAAAGTACTACCTTATACAATAGTAAGATAATGATAGTATAAGAAAAAAGATAACGGCAAGAAAGGAAAAAATATAATTACAGACAAAATTGGTAGTAAATTTACCAACAGTTGTCATTTTTATATTTCTACGTGTTGGGCACACAGGAGCTCTTCAATTTCTACTCATATTTTTGATATTGTCCTAATGTTCCACAGTGAAATCTGTAGTACTTTGATAATTAGAAAAAATATGTTATTTCAATAAAAGTGAAAGACAGAGCATGAACAAAATCATGGAAGTAAGAATATCTATGGCTGGTATGTCTGTGGGTCAAAGAGAAGATAAAACTGACCAGAATCAGGGGAGGTGATGAGAAGTTATGGGAAATAGGTTTGCATATCAAAGAGGGTGACACTGTCCCCAAGGGGCAAACACTGGTTCTCAGTGGGACAAAAATATCTTACTCTTTTTATGTATAAAACACAGATATAAAAAACAGTACATAAATGTACAGTATATTTGCAGTATTAAAATTCCAGGTGGAGGAGGAATTAGAAACGCTACTCTAAAAGGTCTCCTCAGCATGGAAATAATACAAAAAACGTTGAAAAAAACAGGTCTACAGATAGGGAGGGGCCAGAAAAGGAAGCGAATATACAATTGGAGGTATCTGAATTTATTTCAAAATTCATTTCAATAGGAAATAGAAAAGGTTTTTTTTGTTTTTTTGCTGAGGAAGATTAGCCCTGAGCTAACATCGGTGCCAATCTTCCTCTGTTTCATATGTGGGTCACTGCCACGGTGTGGCTGACGAGCTGTGTAGGTCTGTGCCCGGGATCCAAACCCGTGAACCCGGGCCACCAAAGCGGAATGCGCTAACTTAACCACTATGCCACAGGGCCAGCCCCTAGAAAATGTTTTTGATGAAAGCCTGATAGTGGAGCCCAGGTGGTCTAGGAGGCAGAGAGAGCCAGTAATGTGCTATTGACACAGGCATGGGGTGAAGAAGGGGCCCCAGGTGGCCACAGTGAGAATGCAGGAGGGACAGAGATCTTGAAAGAATTAACAGAGCAGATCCAAATAAAGCTGGAAATATCAGTTCCAAGTTGTGAAAGAAACACTGACCTATCCAAAAGCTGAAAGGGGTGCCATGTAATGCATCTTGTAGGAGTCCAGTTGTTGGTTAAGCATTAGCAGCTGCTTGTGCCTCCCAACCCTGCAAGGGGACCCCTTTAGCACTCCCTCTCTTGCTGCAGAAAGCTCATGGCTTGGTGGTCTCTAAAGCCAGACAGCACTGTGGGGGAGTCCCAGCTCTGCCTCTCCCTGGTGGGATGATCTATGGCAAGTTATTCAACTTCTTTCAGCCTCTGTTTCCTCATTTTCCATTTGGGATAATATGAGTACCAATTTCAACGGTTTGTGGTAGAGAATGAATAAGATAATCAATGTGATTCATCTAGCTGGTGCTGGTAACATAGAAAGCAATCAAAACACACCAGCTGTGGGGCCGGCCCAGTGGCATAGTGGTTAAGTTCCTGTGCTCTGCCTCGGCAGGCAGGGGTTCACAGGTTCAGATCCTGGGCGCGGACCTACAAACTGCTCATCAAGCCATGCTGTGGCAGCATCCCACATACAAAATAGAGGAAGATTGGCACAGATGTTAGCTCAGCAACAGTCTTCCTTACCAGAAAAAACCCAAAAAACACCAGCTGTTATTACCCTAAGTATGGCCTGACACTTAAATAAGTGAGAAAGCTGGAAAGCTCCTTTGTAACTCCACGATAAAGGAAGAGACAAATTCCTTTCTTTTTTTATTTTTTTTAAATAATTTTTTATTTATTTATTTTTCCCCCAAAGCCCCAGTAGCTAGTTGTATGTCATAGCTGCACATCCTTCTAGTTGCTGTATGTGGGACGCAGCCTCAGCATGGCCGGAGAAACGGTGCGTTGGTGCACACCTGGGATCCGAACCTGGGCCGCCAGTAGCCGAGCACGCGCACTTAACCGGCAAGCCACGGGGCCAGCCCGACAAATTGCTTTCTAATAAGGCAATGATTTGATGCTGGTCCTTAGGGTCAAAAGCTTTTCTGAAACTCCCTATACAGAGCGAAACACACCCTTAAGAGATCAATAAAAACTAATACGTATATGCTCCTTTTATTTTAAAGCATTTTATATACATTAATGTATTTAAACCTCACAAAAGTATTAATTATGTAATTTAAAAGCATTAGTGAATTATTAGTTTTACAGACAAGTCCACTGACACCCATCCAAGATCATCTGACCATCAGTTCCATTTTGCCTCGCTGCCTGTGCTACTGGGTACACTGCCTGGCTTTATATTCTGGTATCCAGCTAAGTATGCTCCTGGAACAAATTCATGTTAAGTATTCAAATTAATGAACTATTTAGAAAAGCATCCATATAAAATGTGATAGAGGATGCTTTGTGTGCAATAAACGATAAGCCCTACTTGACAAGCGTCTCTGTCCTCTGTGGTCTTTGGTTTACCATGAAGGAAACAAGACTTACAGTTTTGTTCCCCTAAGAACTTCATCACTGTACACATTGGGGGTTTTCATTCTCTGTGAGTCTGAAGTAAGAGAAGGCAGCCTCCTGTGCACCGGTGTTTTCCTTAAAGAACTCTGTAGTCCGCGAGGATCTGAGATGCGTCCCAGACGATACCGTGATGAGGAAAGGGCGCTGGTCCCCACACCCGATGATTTGTCCTCTTGCTCATTCCTGGGGGAGAGAAATCTCAAGTTAATTACTCAGATGTAAGCACTGCGAGAACAGGGGACGTATACATTTGCCCATTACTAGGCACACAGAAGATAGTCCTAAGTATTTGTTGAATGAACGGACAGACTATCAATTCCAATTCAATTTCAATTTCAATGAAGTATCATCCACTGGAAAAACGATCTAAGTTTCTCATTGTTTGTAATCAAACAGTATAGCCCACAAGATTAAGAATTCACAGCGACATTCCCCTTTTCTTATCTGCCCGAACCTAATAGTAATTGTTGTGTGGTTGATATTAGAATAGTGTTATTTTTTTGTGTGTGTGTGAGGAAGATCAGCCCCTTAGCTAACATCCATGCTAATCCTCCTCTTTTTGCTGAGGAAGACTGGCTCTGAGCTAACATCTATTGCCAATCCTCCTCCTTTTTTCTCCCCAAAGCCCCAGTAGATAGTTGTATGTCATAGCTGCACATCCTTCTAGTTGCTGTATGTGGAACGAGGCCTCAGCATGGCTAGAGAAGCAGTGCGTTGCTGCGCGCCCGGGATCCGAACCCAGGCCGCCAGCAGCGGAGCACACACACTTAACCACTAAGCCACGGGGCAGGCCCTAGAATAGTGTTTTGATTCTTACACAACGGCTGTATCCAGGCACACCTGGATCACAGGATTAGATAGGATTCTCATTATCTCCTGTCCTCTCTAGTCTTCAGTGCCCAGTGTGTCCAGCATGGGGAAGAGGCTGGGTAGTTATTTCTTACACGTACTGTGTTCTGTCTGCAAAATAGGTAGGTCTCTGCTGAAGCGGTTTTGCTTGAATTGTCATCACACCGTTCAAATCGCTATAAAAGTTGCTGGAGAAGCGATGAATCTGAGAAAAGTCAAAACAATAAAAATCAAAAAGCATCCAGTGCCATTGCAATTACTGATGCCTGTGAGGAATCATCAGGAAACAAATGGCACACTCAAACTGACTAATTTCAGGAAAATTTAATAAAAGGACTATATTTTACAAAGATGTGGGAAGAGAAATTAACGAGGAATAGCTTGATTTCCCCAAGGCTTGTAACCGTGGGACACATGACCACACCTAGGCAGCGAGAAGTGAGGGTGAGGTTCCTGGAATCTGGAAAGGGTGGCTGCATGGAGAAATGCCACCAATGCACTGGGACCTGGTAGAGAGGCCAGGAGAAAACAAAGCCAGGCCCCACTCTCCTCCAGGATCTGAGCTTCCAGAAGCTGCAGGGAGCCCTCAGCTGCAGTCAACATGTATCAGCCTCCAGGGCATACCATGGTGAAGAAGACAGACGGTGCATCTTGGAGAAGCTGAGAAAAGGTGTCCCAGCTCCTAACTGGTCTTCTTGCCTTGAACCTCCTCTCCCACCCCTCATCCGTCTCAGCTTGCCCCAGGTAGCTTCCCAGGGGCAGCAGGAGACCCTGGGAAACACTCAAGCACGAGATCTCAAAGGCTACAATTGACTCCCAGTTCTAACTGCTTCCTGGATGGTGATCTTGGAAAGACGACATTGCTCTTAGGGTTTTAATTTCCTAATCTTTAGATTGGGGATAATGATACCTACTTTAGAGAGTTACAGTGAGAATTAAATCAGATAACATTTGTGAAAGCATGAAGCAAGGGCTAAATAATTATTAATTCCCTCTTTAGTCCCACAATAAGACCACCTAGGATTTAAAATAATATTTAGGCAACTAGACTTTTGGTGGTGAACACGATGTAGTCTATACAGAGTAGAAACACAATGATGTACACCTGAAATTTATATGTTACAAACCAATGTGACCTCAATAACAATAAATAAATAAAAATAAAATACATGTTATCTTTTAATATAAACAAATAAAATAATATTTAGATTCAGGCAAACAGGATATCTGACACCAGAATTCTATTCTAGTTCAAGAATAGATGTAGCAACTACAATCACATCTTCCCCATACTGAAAATATATATAAAAAGAAATGTTAGAGGAATAAATTAAGACCTATTATAATTATCACTAGAACGATCTATTTCAAACTAGGCTCTATTAGTATTCTATTTTTACTTTTAGCTTTGTCATCCATTCACTTGCTTCTAACATTTATCCAAATGAAAACAACAAAACAGCTGTAAAAAACATTTAAAAAAACCATAAAAAGCTATAAAAACAACAAAATCTCTGTAGAAAATTTAGATTTTAAAATTTCCAGTTTAGGCAACAGTTGTTGCCATCAACTGTTCATGTTCATGAGATTTATACTGCATATTTTAATATGCAAAGTGGGAAATACTGTTGAACCAGTGAGAGCAGTTTAAAGAGACCAAAAAATACAATAAGCTGGTTGCAATTCCAAAAGTTTCTTTTGAACAGCAAAAGCAAAGACGACTTATATGCCTTAACACTACAGAGTAAAACAATCCTATTAGATATCTCTGGTTTAAACCCCTGCTCCCTGAACTGCAGGCCCTCGTCATGCCTGTGTCCTTTCTATCTCTCAGCGGTATTCTGTTTATTTGCTCCCATGCTAGGTGCATATTTTAACTGCCTTGTACATCTCCTCTTTTTCAGCTTAACAAATCTTGCCTATTATCTTAATTCATATCTTACTCTACTTTGTGAAGCATATGCTATTTTTCCTCTGAACCCCACAGCATTTATGAGCTAAAGGATATGTAACTATAATTATAATATAGAATAATACATAATTAGCATTTGATAAGAATAATAAAAACGAACACTAATTGAGTGCCTCCTCTATGCCACACACTGTAGTAAATGTCTTATATCTTTTACTTCTCACAGCTTCCTACCTCACAGATCCCATAGATAATGAAACTGAGGTTTTGAGAGAAATGAAGTGATTCAAGATCACAGAGCTAATAAATTGTGACGTCAGGCTCCAAACTTGTAGTCTATATGCAAGTTTAGATCACACTCTCATCCACCCTACTATCTACTAGATTGCCTTATCTTGTGTGTGTGTGTGTGTGTGTGTGGCGGGGGGATAGTATTGTTTACAATGGCTTGACTCCCTCCAACTAAACTGTACGTACCTCAAGACCAGGAATCCTGTCTTATCCTTTTGCTCTGCTCCCCCACACAAGGCGGGCTGTGCAAAACAGGAAGTCTAAACTCCTTAGCACTACTGAAGGCCTCCCATGAACAAGCTCGTCCTTTCCAGCCTCATTTTCCACTAGATCTTTTAATAAGGACACAGTACGAGAAAAATTTACTGAGTGCCTAGTATATGCCCACTTCTGTGTTAGGAGCTGTCACATATTTACACGATTTTATTCCCACGACAATCCCTTGGACAACATACTGTTCTCCTCATTCTCTAGATAAGGAAACTAAAGTTCAGAAAAGTTAAACAACATATCCAAAATAACTCCCCTTATAGGTCTCTTGATTCTAAATGCCCTGGTCTTGCCGCAAGGCCTCTGCTGGTCGCAGTATCCTAACCTCTGACCCTCAGCCCAATCACTCTTCCCCAGACACACCCCCTCCTTCACTCCTTCATGCATCTGCTCGGCCTGAAATGACCCACGCAGACTTCCTATCTCTGGAAGCCCTTCTCATTTCTTCATGTTTCTGCTCAAACTTCACCTCCAACCTAAGAGATCAAGCCTCAAGCCCCAGCCAGGATAAATCAATTTTTCCTTTATTCTCCTACATCACTTTTTGTGCACAGCACTCACAGAATGTATTGCATCTAACTTGTATTATACTTCTTGTATTTCGAGATCAGGGACTAAACTCTGCTCAACTATATATCTCCTGAAAACACCTAATAAGGTTCACTTAATACAAACAATACATGTTGAATGAACCCAATGTATACTCATTAATTGATTCTTTCATCAGTCTGGTGGGAGCAGAGGAGAACATCTGTAACCTTCAAATTGGCTAGAAATATTGGGAGGAAGCATTTTTTCTCTTCCAAAATATGCAAACAGCTCTACAGCTCAAAGCAGAGTCTCAAATCTGAGTGCCACTGCTCTATTAAAGAATATGGTGATTCTATTAAACTCCATGAAATAATTATTGTTAAATTTTAGTCTTATTGACAAACAGGCCCAGATATCTTGCTAACAGGCTGTAAGAGAATGGCACTCTTGACAAACCGAGGCCAGAGATATAAAGATTGAAGGAAAGAGAGAGACTAATGGAAGAGTATCTACCTGAGGTGGATTAAGATGAGAAGCCAGGGATATGCTTCGAGTTTCAGAATTTCTGGATGGGGGAACACTTGATACATCAGTGTTAACACGGGAAACAAATATGTGTGGAGATTTATTCTCAGCTACTTTCAAGTTTTCTTTCTGTTTTTTTCCTTCTGTGTCAACAGAAAAATCAGTATTATTAAGAAACATACTATCTAATACATGTACTTAAAATTCATTATTCAAACGGAATATTTGGGGCCACCCCGGTGGCCTAGTGGTTAACTTCAGCATGCTCCGCTTCGGCAGCCCAGGTTTGGTTCCTGGATGTGGCCCTACACCACTCATCTGTTAGCGGCCATGCTGTGGTGGTGGCTCACATAAGAAAGGAACAAAAGAGGGACTGGCCCGGTGGTGTAGTGGTTAAGTTAGTGTGCTCCACTTCGGCAGCTAGGGGTTTGTGGGTTCAGATCCTGGGTGGGGATCTACACACAGCTCATCAAGCCATGCTGTGGCAGCATCCCACATGCAAAATAGAGGAAGACTGGCACAGATCTTAGCTCAGGGACAATCTTCCTCAGGCAAAAAGAGGAAGATTGGCAATGTATATTATCTCAGGGTGAATCTTCCTCAGCAAAAACAAAAAAAACAAAGAGAATATTTGTTCTTGAGTTACCATGAGTCTGCTATTGCCACTGAACCTTGCTATAGAGAGCATGGACGCCACAGAGTAATTGGCTAATGTGACACTTTTCCAAGTGCACATTATGAAATGCCTATCATTTCAGTGGTAGGTGGAAATATAGGGATTATACGCTGGGACAAGAAAGATTCTCCATAGTTTATAATATCCCAACTAATCCCTTTGGTTGGAAAAAGAATAATACTGAAATTAACATGATCATTATCCTATTGTACAAGTTGATTACATAACACTAGTCATTAATGTCCACCACTGACATTTCTATGATTTGTTTCTGCTCAATTTCAAGTGGTTTAGAAAACATTTTATAAGGTTAAATGAAGTGATTATTAAATTAGCTATGTTTAAATTTTACTTTAGAAATAACATCATAAGCAATTAAAAACCAATAACTCATTATTAGAGATTAGTTAGGTAAGTTTTTTTTTTACCACACACACACACACACAAAAGTGACCTCTAGCTTCTTTCTTGTGTATTTCTGGTTTTTTTCCCCAGATTGCATATATATTATTTTTATAATTCAAAAACAATAATGTCCTTTTCGAAGTGATTAAAGATGAGTTGTCAATAAACGCAGGAAACCCACTTCCCTTCTCACCCCAATCGTGTCCTAGGTAAGGCCAAGCTGGGGGCGGGGGGCAGGCCCTAAGCTGAGGAACAGGGATCATTTTTCCTTTTCATGAGGCCAAATTCTACAAATAAATACCTGTGAGTGTAATTTCCCAGTTTTTTCTAATCAGCTCTTCCAATATTTCTACCACATCTGTCCAGATGTGATCAAACACTTCTCCGGCCACCGCATCTTTGATACAGTCATGAGGGGAAATGGGAGGAAGTCCACGTTTACGCCATGTCCTACGATGGTGAGCTGATTTTGGTTCAAGGCATTCATCGTCACTAAGGATAAAACCCATTCTAATTACTACACTTGTCAATGGTTACAGTTAAAATAAAGCTATCTATCTATCTAACGTGCATGCATATATGTACATTACATGCATGTAAACATAACATTCTTGTTTAAACAGCACATTATTTTTTTCATTTTATTCTTTATTTGGACATAATGACTATAGTTCATTTTTAGTTGGATTTGTTCTTATGTTACCCCTTGTGAAAATACGATCTCTACTGGAGTTGTATCTAGTAGGGATAGAAAGATCATTTCAAGATTTCAGAGAAAAATTTGTCATGGAAATATGGGGGTAGGCTGAAGTATATACGAGCCTTCAAATTACTTCTCTCCAAAGACATTCAGATATTGAGCTATTATACTATTTATGAGGTGGCATGTCATTAAGTGTTAGATGAAAAAATCTGTCTACATTTGAAACAGTTATTTTCATAAAACTTATTTTTCAGGGAACGCTCATTCTTGGAGCAAGTCTTCCCTTTTCTGAGAAATACATCTAAGTTATCTGCCTCAATCCTAACTGGTCTTAATATCTACTGAGAATTTATGATGAGCTCAGTATTGCAGTCAATGACTGGCACACATTATCTCATTTAACTACTTGGCTATACTGACAGGCAGTATAATACAGTCGTTAGAGAGAAAGGCTCTGGAACCAAAGTGATTAAGTTTGAATTCCAAGTTCCCTTCTGCTGCACATTATTTTTTAATGTACCAATTTTTAATCAGGAGGCAAATTTTTATCATACAATATTTGTAGCTTTTGTTTAAGAACCAAATATGCATTTAGTGCAGAGACTGAACCTTCCCCTTTGTCCTTCCCGGCAGCCAGGTATCAGGTCCCAGAAGCCCCCAGGCACGAAGGTCACCAGTAGCCGTGTCCACTCTCACCAGCATGCTGAACACAATTCTTGTTTCCTCTCTGCACCATGTTGTCAAAAAGGAAAGAGAGGCACCACTCTAGCACATACGCCTCCTGCTAGGAATCTAAAAACTTTTGGAAGCACATTGCTCTCAAAAGAATGGAAAATCTTTTGGATAAGTGAAAAATATACCAAACACTAAGTGAGCATATAATCAAAATAAATGCCAAACAAATTAATATTATTATACTACTAGTCAACGTCAAAGAAAATTCTGTTTACTCTTCTCTTCTGTCAAAAGCGAAATACTCTTCAATCTTTCCATCCACATCAATAACCTCTTCTTCCAGGGATGAACATGCTGGAAGGTCAGCAGCCCCTGCGCAGTCAGGGCCTGGCAGGGCAGGGGCTGAGGGTGCTGCTGGGAGTATCTGAGAGCCAGAGATGCACAGCCTATGGAGAGGAGCAGATTCTCCATGAGAGGTGGCAGAACATCAAGAATACGATGTTTGCATGATCGTGGAGGATCTTTCAATTATCCATAAAGCACAGAATCCCAAATTAAAAAATAACTAAATATTACATTTGACAAAAGTCATATCCTTAAAAGTGACATTTTTACACAGGCATCATTAAAAATTTTAAGGACTTCTTAAAAGCCTAAGTTATTCTAGGGGTTTGTATCCCCTTTGGTGTAATGAAGGGAGGTCATGGCACAGTCCCGAATGTGTGTGAATGGCATAGAGAGTTTACCAAAATCTGCTAGTGAGCAAAAGAAAACAGGAGAGAGATTTATTTCTTCTGCTACTGCCTTTGGATTTAGGATCCACCACAATGGGGCAGTTTTCGATTTGGCATCTAGCCCACCTTTCAGAGTTTTTGAAACAAAAGTTTAAAAGTTAACTCCTTTGATATTGGTATTACACACACACCCGCACACTCACTCATCATCATCAGCATCATCATCAATTTAGAATCAGAAGCATCTTGGGGAAAAAATGCTCTGTACCTGCCCTTCATTGAAATCTAAAAATTCCAAATTGGTGGAACCAAGGCTCATGGCTGAGACAGACATGTAAAAGTGTAACTAAAATGCAATTAAAAGTACTTCTCAAAGTAACTTATAGGAACATACTGTCTGACGTTGCTGTTGCATTCACAGGCATCAAAGAAGGGTTTGTGGATCACAGAACTAGGCTCGCTGCCCCGGAAATGTCGGAACCCTTCATCAGATGGCAGGATGAGCTGTCTTCCTAATACTCTGCAAGGTAAAAAAAAATTAGGAAACTCACTATTTTATTGCAAAGGGGGAAAATGTTTTGCAGTTTTAAAAATCGGATAAAATAATATTTTGAAGGAGGCTGTATGAGGCAATAAGGTACATATTGTACACGAGAAGCATAACAGTGTCACAGAAACGACACAGGCTTTGAGGCAGAGGACAGACGCTTCCTGCCACTGATGTAGAGACTTGAGGCAAAGTTCTCAGGCTCTCTAAGCCACTGATTCATTCGTTTGATTTTGTACGCAAGACAGAATAATAATAGTTACCTTGTCGGACTGATGAATGGCTTAGAGATAACATATATGGATTGGAACATCTAGAGTAATGCTGGGCACACAACTCTCTATAAATGTTAACTAATACGTATATAAATATTTATAATGAATAAAACTACATAAATATACATACTTGGCTTATGTTCCTTGCGATCTTTTTTTTTCTACCCTGCCCTCCTTCATTTTTATCTTAACTATGTAAGTCAACACTGGCAGGAGCAGTCTGGGGTCCTAACTTTTCTAGAAAAGTAAGCACCCACAATTAGTATCTAGTGGACATATTATACTCTTTAAAGCAGGAGGCTTATGAAGGTCTGAAAAGAAAAAATTAAAAACCTACTTAGTTAAGATTTTTCTTAAAAAGTTACCTGGATGAGGTAACCAAAAGATCCATTGACATCGGTATGAGTTTTCGAATTTATTCTCCCCAGATATAACATAGAGAAACTTCAGATAACTGAAAGATGGATTTTTCCCCTAAGTAGATTTGGCTGAGCAATTGAAGGAAGAAAAGTTTCCCTTTATAAGCAATTTATATTCTCCATCTTGGATATAAAATAAATGAATGATCCTTCCTACAGAAGGAATCTGGGTGAGATGATAAGATTTATCCGCCCAATCATTGAGCAAATAGTTACTCTGTTCCTCCTTGCCCCACCCCCACCCCCACACTGTTCTCAGCGCTGACAGATAACACATTGCTCACATACTAGTGAATGTGAAGGTCAAGGATTATTTTTAACATTCTTGCATTTGTTACATATGTAATGCCTTTCTGAGGATAAGTTAGATTTGCATCTCACAAATTAAAATGCACTTGAGTATTGGAACATCTCGATATTTTCTCAGACACCATTTCAAAGCATGTGATTTCTCCGTAAAGAATGTGTGTTCTGGATACATATTTTGACTCAGCAAGTGCTCTTAGTCAAAACGTACTAATTGTATTAAACAAGTCGGGAGTGGACAGTTCCAAAAGTCACTCTGGAGAATTACTATGAACAACTTCCCTACCTCAGATGGAGGGATCTTCTTGCCCACTCACTGCATTCAGCCAGCAGATTCTGGGTCTGAGGGCTTACTTTCCCTTCAAATAACATTTCCTCAACCTCCCAGAATAACTGCTGTACTTTCTGTGCATTGGCTTTGTCAAACTCCTAAAATAGAAATGCACATTAAGTTATAAGACAAAAAGTTGTAAATATATGGGCTTCATAATCAATGATACTTACAAACTTAAAAGTACCCAATACATAGGAGGGAGTATGACAGGCTAAAATGAATGTGGACTTTGCGGTCAGACATGTCTGTGCTCTGATTTTTCCTTTTCTCATAAATTACGTCCGACTCTGAGCCTCAGTTTCTTTAACTGTTAAATAGAGATAATTTCTACCACATGAGTTATGTGACTTATTTGAGATTTTATGTAGCTACAGATACAGATATAAGTATACATATTGACACAGACATTGATATAGATACTAGAACATACACACACCTATAAATCTATGCACACACACACATGTACACAAACATATGTCCCTCATATAGTTAGGTGTGACACATCTAAGCACACTGGCAAAATAGAAGCTATTTTTTTTTCTAATGATGATACCACTGAAAAGGAAAATTACTTTTTGTGTGTGTATGTGAGGAAGATTAGCCCTGACCTACCATCTGTTGCCAATTTTCCTCTTTTTGCTGAGGAAGATTAGCCCTGGGCTAACATCCATGCCCATCTTCCTCCTTCATATGAGACGCCACCACAGCCTGCCTTGACAAGTGGTGCATTGGTGCGTGCCAGGGATCTGAACCTGCGAACCCTGGGCCGCCGCAGCGGAGTGTGTGAACTTAACCACTAGGCCACCAGGCTGGCCCCAGGAAAATTACTTTTATAGAAAAGGTCATTCACCTTTTAACCAATGAAGCAACAACAACAACAACAAAAAACTCCTGTTATCCTAAGAGGCGTGGTTATTAGGGTGAAGCCAGAGTATTAACTTTTCCTGTCTGACCTTAAGACGTTCCTGGACTGTGGCTGCAGTGAACTGTGGGTTAGAAAATCTTTCAGCCTCTCTGTGTGTTCTCCATGGTTGGGAAGTAACAGTCCTATAGCCCTCAGAGCCAATGAGGAGCACATAAACATTACTTTGGGAGGACCAGCACTGTACAGACAGCCTCCAAGGCCAGGGCACTGGTTATATTTTCTTCCATGAGTGTGTGAACTTGAAATCTCATTCACAACTCAGACCAACAAAGTGCATATTTGGTCTGACATAGCTGATCCAAACGGTCAATGCAGATTGATTTTCATAGACTGCTAGTCAATATTCTCCGTGTTACTTCTTCACTCACACTGATAATAAGCTGGATCCCCAGAGTGCAGGGGAGTTGAATTTTCTTTTTTAAAATGCAAATCAGGGGCCCAGCCCCGTGGCGTAGCGGTTAAGTGCGGGCGCTCCCCTGGCGGCCCGGGTTCGGATCCCCGGGGCGCACCGACACAACGCTTGTCAGGCCATGCTGTGGCAGTGTCCCATATGAAGTGGAGGAAGATGGGCACGGATGTTAGCTCAGGACCAGTCTTGCTCAGCAAAGAGGAGGATTGGCATGGATGTTAGTTCAGGGCTGATCTTCCTCACACACAAAAAAATAAAATAAAATACAAATCAGGAGCAAACCAATAATATTTGCCCTCCTAGGAGGGGACTGGGTGGCTGGGACGTGAAAGAGGGCTTACTTTCCATTTTCTCTCTTTTGCATTTTGTTGCTTTTGCAAATATTACCTCTCAAAAGGTAAGTAAGGGGCTGGCCCCGTGGCTTAGTGGTTAAGTGCGCGTGCTCCACTACTGGTGGCCCGGGTTCGGATCCCAGGCGCGCACCGACGCACCACTTGCCCAGCCATGCTGAGGCCATGTCCCACATACAGCAACTAGAAGGATGTGCAACTATGACATGCAACTATCTACTAGGGCTTTGGGGGAGAAAAGGGGGAAAAAAGGAGGAGGATTGGCAATAGATGTTAGCTCAGGGCCGGTCTTTCTCAGTAAAAAGAGCAGGATTGGCATGGATGTTAGCTCAGGGCTGATCTTCCTCACAACAACAACAACAAAAAAGTAAGTATAAGTTTTTCAGTTAAAATCAATTGTAGGATCTGGAGTAATTTAAATTCTGTAAATGGAAGTCGTAAGAACCTCTCTGGATAATTACATGAGAACGTGTACCGAAAGAATCCCATAATTTGGAGGGTCCAGGCTCTCAGCCTACTTGCCATCTGCCTACTTGTGAGGAGAGCTTGTGACTGGGGGTGGCAGGGAGTGGGCATGAGGGTGGGAACTGTTCATCACAAGTGAGACAGTCACGTCTTGTTTGCAAAAGTCTTGAGCATTTCAGAGCTGACTCCCTCCCACGCCCCTCTCACTCCCACTGCTTGGAGAATCACTGCTAGGAAGCCATCAGAGGAAGTGGATCCACACACGTAGCGAGGAGCGGAAATCTGTTTTTAAAGAAAATCAGAACGCACACAAGAAAAGAGCAGGAGTCAGAACCTCCAAGGTGCTAGGACGGAAGCTCTTCCTCAGCGATCTGGGCTTCACAAAAGGCTGCATCCCAGGATTCTGAGGGACACTTGAAGGATAAAGAGGCAGGAGACCCTGCAATGGACAGAGTGCCAAACAAGCCTGAGCTGTAGACTCAAAGGTCACCCCGCTAAGAATCCCACTCCCAAAAAGAACAAAAATGAGGTTAAAGTTAATAGCTTCCACTAGGGTTAGAAGGTGAAAGTAAAACATCTGACTTAGAATATTGAGGGAAAATTCCCTAATCATGGTGATTTTTTATAATTTTTTTTTTTTTTTTTTTTTTTTGCAAGATCAGCCCTGAGCTAACATCCATGCTAATCTTCCTCTATTTTGTGTGTGGGTGGCTGCCACATCATGGCCACTGATGAGTGGTGTAGGTCCACAACCAGGAACCGAACCTGGCCTGCCAAAGCAGAGAGCATCAAACTCAACCACTAGGCCTTGGGGCTGGCCCCGACTTTTTACAGTTTTTACTTTTCCCAATTTTTTCTCTTACTCAAGTTCCTAATTGTCAGAGTCTGTCCTGAATTTCCAGCCATGGATATCATGTATAACGTACTGAGGGGGAGGGCTGGGAAGCGGAAAAAACAAAACTATCAACAGCTAAGACTCTAGGTTATGAGATTATGAGTGATTTTCATTTTTCCTCCTATTTTCTGTATTTTTAAGTCTTTACGTGTGCCATGTAAATGCTTTGATATGTATGTATCTGTATGTGTGTATTAGGTAACACTTTTAAAATTGGTAAAAAAGATTCTTTTTTAAATAAGAAAGCAATTCTTCCTTATAAATTGTAATCAGGGATTATCCAAAATATTCTGAGACATACATCATCTCTCCAGGAGTAAATGGAGCTCCGCTCTGTAGATAAGCCAGTGGTAGAACTCTGCGTCCCAGACCCAGACCAAGAGTTGGGGGCTTCTGGGTGTGTAGGGCTTCCACTTGATGAAAACGATGACACGGATTCACTGCAGGAACAAATGTGAGTAACATAAATAACATTTCCTGGGAAGGGGTTATACTGGTAAGTGGCTTTACTTCTCTGAGCTGACTTCCTCTTTCTTTCTTTAAATATATTTGTTAATTTCACAGTACACTGATGTTGAAATATTTATGCAGTGTAACATTTCACTAGGCTAAAAATAAAACTGCTTTTTTCCTATTAGAAATTCAAGGCCAATGATTGATTCTGCTTCCCATATTCGTTATAGGCATCCTTTGATTTTACAATCAGAAGCATTTAACAGGTTAATTCTTACCAGGTATATTTATCAATGGCTTTCTGCACATTTCTTGTAAAGTGTGTTGGTAAAGAATCTTTGCTTTTCACAGCAAAACTATGCTTTCCAGATCCTTCTGACAGTCCTCTCCTGAAAAATAAAATAAAATATGAAATGTATCTCTAATGTAATAATATAACTTTATTCATTAGGACTTTAAAATTTTCCTTTTGTATAGTTGCCCCCTCCTATTGCCATGTCCCCTAAACACATACGTGTGCATGCACACACACACACACACAAGCACACACACTACAAATCCTCAAGAAAGTGAAGCCTAGGACCTTAACATTTTTATATTCCTTAGAGTCAAGGTTGCCATTAACCTACATGCACTTTGTGTAAACTTGAAAAAACCAAACAACTTTTTGTGACTTAGCCAGATTGGTAAGAGTTGCCCAACTCTGGATAGATACAGCCTCACTCCGAGACATAAGACTTGGCAAGTCAAACATGAGCTGGATCTCAGGGCCCACTTGTCTCTTGTGCTTGCAGAAGCCAACCAGTCTTCCAGGAAAAAATCGATAATTCCATATTAATTCTGAAATATATCAAATGCTTTTGAATCACTAAACACACAAATAAATAAAAGAAATGACTGAAACACACAAACGACAATTCCCTTTAGTTTGGTCTTGCTGTGTGATGCACAGCCTGATTTGTAGAGAGTTTTAAAATACTAAAATTAATGGTAAACTAAAACAGAAGAAATCTGTAAACTTTAAATAAGGTGTTAAACCTTACTGGTGTAGCATAGTTCGTGTTAATCATTAAAATGCCCTTTCAATGAGCCTCTTAAAACGTTTAGTTCCCTCTAGTCAAAATATCCTCCTAATGTTTAACAGTAAACAACTTTTGCTCTTTTATAGAAATCACATTTTCCCATACAAATAACTTATGCTTTATATTAACTTAAGATATGGTCGTAATTTAGAAAAAAGTTAACTTTCAATATTTCTAACAGGCACACCACTCTAACATTCATTAACAAAAAAAGTTTGCTTTTGCTTTCAATTAAAATTTTCAACATTTGTATTTCTGAATGTAGATGGAGTTTTAAAAAATATTAACATAAGAGAATAAATTCTGCCCTTAGTTATGTACCTATAGTATTCTACAACAAAGGGAGATTTAAAAACAAATTAATTACTATAAACAGAGGTTAGCAAGAACCTCTGCCTTCCACATGTGTCTTATATGAGACAATAACACAATTATATGATTTTTCCCTCTCCTACTGCCTATGTCTTAAGTACAACCAAGCAATTCTGAAGGTAAAGGTGTTCAAGAAAAGATACCAGAGAAAAGAATATAGGACAAGCTTTTATGCTAATAAACTGCTTTATCTTTAGCCCTGTGCAGATGGTTTTAAAACTATCAATTATTGGGGCCAGCCTCAGTGGCCTAGTAGTTAAGTTCAGCACACTCTGCTTTGGCAGCCGGGTTCTCCGGTTCAGATCCCGGGCGCAGACACTCATCAGCCATGCTGAGGCAGCGACCCACATATAAAGTGGAGGAAGACTGGCACACATGTTAGCTCAGGGCTAATCTTCCTCAAGCAAAAAAAAAGAAAAGAAGAGGAAGATTGGCAACTGATGTTAGCTCAGAGTGAATCTTCCTCAGCAAAGAGAAAAAAAAAGACAACTATCAATTATTTATAATTTACATATAACTCGATAACCCTTTAGACAAACATAAAAATATGACATGAAAGAGACAATCAACTAAAAATTACATCAAATAGATCTGCTGTGAACATTAAGAAACATATCCTGGTATATAAGTTAATTTGCTTATTATTAAGAAATCATTTTAAACTTCAGGGTGGGGAGTCAAATAAAATATTGTTCCCTCGTAATATCTATATAATAATGGTGGACTAGAATCTTGCTATACCACTGATAGGCTGTGTGCTTTGAGCAAGTTACTTCTCCTCTGCCAGACTCAATATCTACATCTGTAAAACAGTGACGATCCTGTCAACTCTTTGTACAGTTGCTGTGAGACTTAAATTAGATCAGGTATGTAGTGTCTACATCATCAGTGGATAAACCAGGTCGATCTTGCTCACTGCCATTATCGTTACCATAGGTTACTCTGTGAAAACCCTGGGTTCTTGTTTCTTTATATCTCCCACCGCATTTCAGATTATACAGTTCTCCTTTGGTACTTTGGCTTTTTATTGTGAAGATCTTGACACTTTATTTTTTATCTGTAGCACCTAAAAAATGCCTGTCCCATAGAAATGCTGTATGTTTGCTGAAACAAACAATAGGCAAAGATAAATTTAAAGCGACTCAAACGAAGAACATGTTTTTGCTCTGTAATTACTCTGAATGTTCATGCTTAATACAAAAGATTACACTGTGACCAGACACAAAAATATTCTCCAAATCCACGATGTTTCTGGAAAATTTTTTTGTCCTTTATAAAGAAAGAAAATTCCCAGCTCTTAGGGTAGCTGACATCTCCAGAAATGACTTTTACAACCGAATGGAGCCGCTGCTTCACTCATTTCCACTTTTCTTGCTTCTGGTTCCTCCTCTGCCCTTTGTGCAACTTGAAAACTAAATTCACTAATCAGATGCTTGGCAGTTTGCTTTGTTTTCAGTGAACAAAAATTTCTTCCTCCAAAAAATTCACCCTTTTTCTGAGGGGGGGGGGAGGACGAAGTCTTTTCAAACTAAGAAGAAAATCATTTACCAAATGGAAGAACGCATTCCTCTCTCCACATTGCGTCATATCCTTGCCAAGATCAGCATTCCTACTCGCTTCACAGTGGAGCTGAGGACAGGAGGTCTTGAAGATGTAGGGGTGGGGGTGGGGAGGAATTACTACAAAGTGGGTGCCTTGAAACACCATCTACTTCCACACCATTCCTCCAACTTTTTTCTCCTCTGCTCTTCTCCACCTTCTCTCCTTCAAAGTCTCTATATTTCTGTGGAACTGTCTGAACTTCAGAGTTCAGTGTAATAACATACATTTGACCACAGAATTCAAAAGAATTCTGAAGAGGAATTTGAGCTCATTAACTCAAAGACTGCTCAAGGTCGAGAAGAAGATAGGGATGGATGGAGCTGGTCCCAGGACCCAGGCCACCTGACCTGCATTTCTCTCCAGGAACCTCAAGTTACCAACATTGTGAACTAAAATAGAATTTATAAAATTTGCCTTTTCTTTTTTTTTTTATGTTTTGTTTTGAATCTTTGGTTTCTCTGTCCTCTAACTATGCACTGTACTATTTTATGCAAAATATTGAACATCTTTAATTCTCTGTAAACCATCAACTACTATGTAACCTCTACAGTCTAAGAAAGTATACACAACTCATAGGATGTGTCCTATAGATATTTTAAAACTTGAAAGTAGTGGAATGTCTATTAAGCTTTTATTACATAAAACATAGAATACGTGTAATATTTTTACACTAATTCCTGTCTATACTTCTTAAATTTTAGAGATGATAAAATACTGCTAGTATTTAAGGCTGTTCATTTGGGGACAGGACCTAGGTTTTAGGGCAGACTGAAGTGCAACCACTGAACTATATTGCACTAATTTGTCGGTGCATCAAAGTTAAGGCCGAGTCCCAATCTGGGTGAGTCACTCCATTCCGGCTGTCAAGGAAATGACTCGATTACCTTTTCATGCTTTAAAAGTTGCCTCTTGATAACCCACACACCTCTGCCACCTTGCCTTGTAGAAATACAGTTATTAAACAGGGATCGCAGCTTTCAAAATTTTGTATTTCTCGGGCCAGCCTGGTGGTGTAGTGGTTAAGTCTGGTGCTCTCCACCGTGGCGGCCTGAAGGTTCGCAGGTTCACGGGTTCGGATCCCAGTGCCGACCTACACCATTTGTCACCCATGCTGTGGCAGCGACCCACATACAAAATAGAAGACGACTGGTAGAGATGTTAGCTCAGGGCTAATCTTCCTCACCAAAGGAAAAAAAAAAATTGTATTTCTGCTTAAGAGTGTTGTCTGAAATGAGCACTGTATTCCGAATGGGCTGAAGCCCTGGATGGTTTTCTGGGCGGACTGGCTATCATGAAGCTGCTCCCCCCATGAAACACTCACACGGCCCTGACTGAATACAAGTAGATTCTAGAAGCACCCGCGGCTCTCTCCTCTGTTCCCTCGGTTGGGAAGGCCTGATGACGTCAGCACAAGAGATTTCATGAATGGATGCAAGGAAACAGAACAGATGGAACCCGGCTTGGCAGGCAGGAAAAAATCACGCGCATGGCACAAAAAGCTGACACGACGGAAAGTCCAGCCCACCTCCCTTCCCCCTCAAGACTTACCCA